AGAGAGGGGGAGGGGGGGTGAATAGAGTCTAAGCAAACTAAGGTCAATTTTTTATTTTAACTCACTAACTGTAACAAAACTTAACTTACTTGACAGATATTGAAGAAAGCAAACTGAATTTTAGATTTCAAAAGAAACTATTTATTAAACAAGATATGAAACAATAAAAGTAAGAGATAGAGATAGAAATTACAAACATATACTCAGCGATTTTTAGCGAGGTTCAAAAACTCCTACTCCTCGACTCAAGATCCGTCTTGAGACTTCCCAATTCACTATGGCTTCTCCTTGCGGGTGGAGAGCAAACCTTTTACAAGAAGTTCTTCCTTGCTTCTAGGTGTTAAGAGAAACACCTTCTCTTAATCTTTCTTGGGCCACACCAGCCCTTACAAGTTTTGAATAGGATTGAACAAGTACAATATGATCTCTCTTATATCTGAAGTACAAGATATAGCTCATTGTAGAGTGTGTATGAATAAATTGCAGCTCAACTCTCTTTTATGATATGAGATGTGTGTATGATGAATGATTTTTGATTGCTAGTGGATCTTTCTCAATAAATGCAACAAGCTTTTATGAAGGCTACCAGTCATTATATAAACTTTCAGAACTGTCTGATATAAATTCTAGCTGTTGGACACACATTTCGAGGAATAAAGCCCGTTTGAAATTTGAATTCTTGCAAGTTTGGTAAACCGAAATAAATTGCTCTTGAGGATCGGTTGACCGATTTAGTCAAAGGATGGCCATCAGCCTTGGTTCGGTAGACCGATGAAAGAGTCCTCTTTGGTTCGGTCGACCGATTTGATTTGAGGTTGATTACTCACTATGTTTTGGTAGACCAATGAAAACTTCCATTTGTTTTGGTCGACCGAAACTCCTTTCTCAAAAGCTCTAAAACCTTCTATGAGAATCGGCTCTACTGACTTATACACCTCTTTAGATTCGGTCGCCTGAAATTTTAAGTGAGACTTTCAATATGCCAGGTTCGGTCGACCGATTTAGCTAGATCCTGAGGTTCGGTAGACTGAATTAGCTTAGGGGTTTTGATCCAAAGTCTCTATTTATATCGGTCGACTGATTTAATGTGCCCTTCTAATTCGGTCGACCGAATTAGTTTATGTTTCAGGAAACTTGTTATGATGATATGACAAGTTTGGTCATTCGGTCCATAGGGATTGTGAATGAGTTGATTATGCATGATTTGAGAATTATGAGCTTCAAAGTGTTCATACAAACTTTAACAAAGATTCCTAAGTAGCTCACCATCCTAGCCACCCCATTGATGACATCTAGATAGCTTCTTTGAATCTTGAATCCTCCTTATCATGTCTTGACCATGCTTTTTCCTTTGAGCTTAAATGTGTACTATCTTGTGTTAATGAGTGCTTTTAATCTGTAATTTGCTTAAGGTAAATATTAGTACACAGTGCACAGATTAAAAAACGAGGAAAAACATAAGAGATATTCAAGGCTCCCCCTTTCTATGTGCATTTATCTAAACATTGTTAGCAAGATATTTTTAAGAAAAATCTGCATATTAAGAAAAATCTGCATAACAAAAATTAAGACAGTGTAACCAAAAATGTATTTCCATTTCAAGAGTTTCAAAGTTTCAAAGTACATTAAACTTCATATTTGAACTACATTTTGACCACTACAGTTAACAACCTGCACATTTTCATTTTCATCAACCTATATCAACTAACAACCCACTTAGACCAACATCAACATCAACATCATCTACATCAACATCATCAATTTCTCCCCCTTTGTCATACATCAAAAAGGTAGGGGAGGGGTGTGAAAGCATCAGAAGTGAGGAAGTCCCGTGACTCGGAGGTCGGCAAGATCGTGCTTCACAAGATCGACTTCATTGGCGACTTCTTCAAATGATTTGCGCATTTCAAGAATGTGATCCCTGTTTTCCTTACCAAGGGCGATTTGCTCTTTAGAGAAAGCAATATTTTCTACGAGCAGCGCACGTAGAGATTGCTCTTCAGAGGGATAAATAGTAGGGGCTTGGTGTTGTTCTTCATCTTCTTCACCTTCTACCTCTACTTCCTTGTTAGCCTCTACATCCTCTCCTCTATTTCTATTACCACCCTCTTCAGTAGCTTCCACTTGTTGCTCATCCATGACCAAATCTTGGTCTTCATTTTGAGGAACCCCAAACTTAGGGTCGTACCAGACATTGGCTTCGAATTTTTTTAAACCCATCCGAATTAGTAGGTTACTGTCAAATCTGTAGAGATTTGTAAGTTCCTTTTTGTCCTCTCCTTTTATGCGAACTTTGTATGCTCTGAAGATGATAGTAAGAGGCATGGCATAGAAGAGGTGTGTTTTCTCCTTTTTAATGCAATCTTGCATATGGTGAAAGATGATGAATGAGAGATTAAACCGCTTTCCATTTAAGACACACCATATGAGAAAGGCTTCCATGAACGACACATCCGAATGTCCGTCGGATTTTGGAAGAATGGTATGGATGATGACATGATCGATGAGATGGGCTTGGACGGTTAACTGACTTGCAAAAATCTTGTCAGTGTTTTCAGTAAGGAATTGACTCATTTGTTGGACTGCTTGGAGAGGATCAAATTCTTCTCCATGATACCAATTGTAAGAGGTAAAGTAGGTGATATCACCGTAAGGAAGTTTGAGAATACGTCGCAAACTGGACTCGGTAAAGTGAATGTTAGTACCTACCACAAAGGAATTGTAAGCGGTGTTCCCTAGTTCTTTCTTGAGATGGGTGTAAGATAGCCTAACAAGTTTGGGATAGAAAGGGACTTTGAGGGATACAAAGTCACCTAAGCCTATAGCATCAAACAATGAGAAGGTATGCTGAATCAATTCATCATTTTCATGATCATTGAAAAGTTTTCCTTTTTCAACTACCTTATGGAAGAATCTTGTTTCATAGGCTTCCTTGAACTCAGGTTCACGGAAGAGACGCATATTGGGAGCGGGATAGGGATCCAATTGCTCAGGGTTTGGGGGGTTAGACACCCCGGCATCTAAGTCATGGGAAATCTTGGTGCGTTTCTCTAGTTGCCTATCAGTTCTAGAGGGATTCTTTCGGGAAGCCATGAGTTCATTTTTGAGATTGGAGATTTGGTGAGATAGATGGCAAGATGATGATGAGTGCAACAAATCTAACTTAGTATGATGAAACAAGGATTAAGGAACTCAAAGAACTCAAAAGAACTGACGTCAAAGGGATTTACTCGAGAAGAGAGATGTAAAACTTACCTTGAAAATGAGGAGAAGAGATGTGCTATCAGTTCGCGATCGCCTTTAGATGGTGAGAGAGAGAAAAAGATAAGTGTTTTGTGAGAAAAGATCGATTCGCGGGTCATTTAAATCTAATTTGATCCTGTTCGTACCTGGGCCTTGGAGAATCGGTCGATCGAAATGGCTTTTTGAAGAAAAAGTGATTTCCTGAAATCGGTCTACCGAACTAGATGGGACTTCAGTTTCGGTCTGCCGAAATTTAATTCGGTTTGCCGAACTGGGAATAGAACCACATCTTTCATTTCGTAAGGGGTACATTAGTGGTCATGAATCTCTCTTTCTATAGCTATTCCGATTTCTCGACGAAGTGTGCAAATCCTATCTTCTTGAAGTGGCTTCGTGAGAATGTCAACCAATTGGTTCTCGGTGTTGATAAACATTAATTCAATATCTCCTTTTGAAACATGATCCCTTAGGAAGTGATACCTGATTTCAATATACTTTGTTTTGGAATGCTAAATGGGGTTGTTTGATATGCATATGGCGCTGGTATTGTCACATTTAATAAGGATTTTGTCGGAAGAATAAGCCAAAGTCTTCAAGTTGCTGTTTGATATACAAGATTTGTGCAACTTTCAGCAACAACATATTTAGCTTCAGCAGTGGAAAGAGCTACTGACTTTTGTTTCTTGCAAGACTATGATACAAGAGATTGACCAATAAAGTGACATGCGCCACTTGTACTTTTTCTATCAACTTTAAAACCGGAAAAATCAACATCCGTGAATCCTACAAGTTCAAATGATGTGTGCCTAGGGTACCATAATCCTAAGTTGATAGTGCCATTTAAATACTTAAAAATTCGCTTGACAACATTTAAGTGAGATTCTTTGGGACACGATTGAAACCTAGCACACAAACATACACTAAACATAATGTCCGGCCTACTAGCCACTAAATATAGAAGACTTCCAATCATCCTCCTATATTTCTTAATGTCAACATCCTTGCCCTTCTCATCCTTTTCAAGCTTTAAGGAAGGACTCATGGGAGTTTTAGCATGTTTGGCGTCATCCGAGCCAAATTTCTTTAGCAAATCTTTTGTATACTTTGATTGGGAAATAAAAATTCTATCAAGAGTTTGTTTGATTTGCAAGCCTAAGAAGAAGTTAAGTTCACCCATCATACTCATTTCAAACTCGTTTTGCATGGAGGTAGTAAACTCTTTACTTAGAGAATCATTTGTTGTTCCAAAAATGATGTCATCAACGTAAATTTGAATGATCAACAAATTGCCATCAATGGTTTTGGTAAACAATGTATTATCAAATTTTCCTTTACTAAAACCATTTGAAAGTAGAAACCCACCAAGTCTTTCATACCAAGCTCTAGGGGCTTGTTCCAAACCATACAAAGCTTTGGGTAATTTATAAACATGGTTTGGATTGTCATAACTTTCAAAGCCCGGTGGTTGTTCTACAAATACTTCTTCATCTATAAAATCATTTAAAAAGGCGCTTTTTACATCCATTTGAAATAATTTGAAATTTTTGTGAGATGCAAATGCAAGTAACATTCTTATAGCCTTAAGTCTAGCAACGGGAGCAAAAATCTCTTCATAATCTATCCCTTCTTCTTGGTTATACCCTTTTGCAACAAGTCTAGCCTTGTTCCTAATAATAGTTCCCGACTCCATCTTTTTTGTTTCTAAAAACCCATTTTATGCCAATAATTGTTTTATTTTGAGGCCTCGGGACAAGATGTCAAACCTTGTTTCTTTTGAATTGAATGAGTTCTTCTTGTATTGCCAAGAGCCAAGATTCATCATTTTCAGCCTCATGTATATTTTTAGGTTCAAATTGAGAAACAAATGTCACAAAATTACATATATTTCTTAATTGAGACCGTGTACTAACACCTTTGGATGGATCACCAATAACTTGATCAATGGGATAATTATGAACTAACTTCCATTCATTTGGAGTAGTTTTATGTTGAGAGGTATCATCACTTAAGTTAGAACTTTGATAGATATCAATAGAAGACTTATTTATGTTGAGATCATTGATACCCTTCTCAAGCTCTATAAGGCACCTATTTGTATTAAGTTCATTTGTACCCTTTTCAAGTTCAACTTCTTCATCATTATCCATCACACTTTTTGTGGGAGAGGTTGGGGATTCATCAAACACAACATGTATGGATTCAACCACAAGTAAGGTCTTCTTGTTATAAACTCTATATGCTTTACTTATAGAGGAATATCCAAGAAAAATGCCTTCATCGGATTTAGCATCAAACTTTCCTAGATTATCCTTGTCATTGAGGACAAAGCATTTGCACCTAAAAACTTTGAAATAACATATATTAGGTTTTCTTTTGTTCTATAACTCATAGGGTGTTTTATTGAGAATCTTTCTAATAACAACTCTATTTATAACATAGCATGAAGTATTTACGGCTTCGGCCCATAGAGATCTAGGTGAATTGTGCTCATTTAACATGGTTCTAGCCATTTCTTGAAGATATCGATTTTTCCTTTCAACAGCACCGTTTTGTTGGGGAGTCCTAGGTGCCGTAAGATTGTGATGGTAGCAATTTTCATCGCAAATTCTTTCGACGTCTTGATTGTCAAACTCTCTACCCCTATTACTTCTAATGGTTTTAATTTTACATTCCTTTTCATTTTTGACTCTTTTGCAAAATTTTAAAAGAATTGAATGAGCCTCATTTTTGCGTGCAAGGAAGAATACCCAAGTGAATCTAGAGTAGTCATCTACGATTACAAAGGCATATAGTTTACCACCAAGACTAGCAATTTTCTCCAGACCAAAAAGATCCATATGAATCAATTCAAATGGTTTTGAAGTGGTTATATTCTTTTTCCTTTTGAAGGAGGACTTAATTTGCTTACCAATTTGGCAAGCACTACACGGTTTGTCTTTTGAAAAATTTATCTTGGGGAGACCTTTGACAAGTTCATTTTTAGACAATCTCATGCTAGCATGACCTAACCTCCTATGCCACAACTAACTATATTCATTAGATGACATGAAATACTTAACATCTTATTCTTGAAGTTCACCTAAGAGCAAGGTGTATACATTACCATGTCTAGGAGCACAAAATATTTGAGATTTATTTCTTTTAACAATGCATTTATCCGATTTAAAAATTACATCAAATCCATTATCACAAAGTTAACTAACACTAAATTGATTATGCTTTAAACCATCAACAAGTAAGACATGTTTAATTGATAAAGAAGGAGAAATACCTATGATCCCAATGCCAATTACCTTGCCTTTAGAGTTGTCTCCAAATGTTACGCTTCCTCCTTTGTAGGCTTGTAGAGAGGAGAACTTTGTGCGGTCACCCATTATGTGTCTTGAACATCCGCTATCTAGAAACCATTTGTCCTTGGAAGATGTGGAGATTTTGAAGCAATCCTACAAAAGAGATTTCAAGTATTTTCACTTAGTACCCAAATCTTGTTGGGTCCATGGGAGTTAGCTAAGAGCACATATGTTCCTTTAAGAACCCACTTCTTTATGAACTTAGGATTTCCCTTTGAACATTCTTGAATAAGATAACCCATCCTTTTACAATAATTGCATTTAGAATTTTTGTTTTTACTTTTAACAAAGTAGTTGGCCAAAGACTTTCTCTTTTTCAATGAGCATGCCTTCTTATCAAAAGGGTCATATCCTAATCCATTTTTATAAAAGACACTTCTTTGAGCACCTAGCATGAGTTCTAGATTTTTGGTGCCTTGAGTAAACTTTGCTAGGCCATCAATTTGGTCTTCACTGATTAACTTCAAGGAAGCATTTTCAAAGATAAGTTCAGGTGATCCTGTTTCTTTAAGCAAAGTGTATTCCTTTTTCAAGCCTTCATTTTCATTTAGAAGAGTTTGAAATTTGCTTTCAATGATAAGTTTTTCTCTTCTTTGAGAGGCACATTTTTTGACCATTTTTCCTAGTTTATCATGCAATTTTTTAAAAGCATCAAGTAATCCATTATATGCATCAACTAAATCATCATAGGACATTTCACATTCAGAGGAAGAGTCATAATTAGAGTTTACCTCATCCCTATTTGCCATGAGACAGAGTATTGCCTTTTCATTATCGCTTTCGGAGCCATTTGAGTCATTATCTTCCCAAGTGGTTTGCATTACTCTTCTCTTTTTCCTTTATTCTTTGTAAACATGACAATCAGCTTTGAAGTGTCCCAGCTTTCCACAATAAAAACAGGTAGAGGTGTCTCGTTTGCTCTATTCATTAGATGATTCACCCTTTTTGAACCTTCCCTTGTTGAATTTCTTCCTATAAAGAAATCTTTTGAAGGATTGAGTGATAAGAGCCAAGTCATTATCTTCACTTTCGTTGCCGGCTACTTCCTTTTCTATTTGAGAGACTTTGAGAGCAATTTCTTTCTTCTGATGATGATCTCCTTCTCTATCTTTTAAAGTAATCTCCCATATGAGAAGAGAACCGAGAAGTTCATCTAACTCAAGTGTGTTGAGATTGTGAGCTTCCTTAATTGCCGTTGCTTTTGCATCCCATTTTTCGAGTAAGCTTCTTAGAATTTTCCTTGCAAGATCAGAGTTAGTCATAGTTCTACCAAGATGCTTCAACCTGTTAATAATGTTAGTAAATCTCATAAACATTGCACTAATAGACTCATTTTCATTCAATTTTGGATTCCTTGACTTGTGAAGTTCCTTCATAAGTAACCTGAAGTTTATCCCAGATTTCTTTAACTGTGGTGCATGTAGAGACTCTATTATATTCATTCGTACTTATAGCACAATTTAGATTAACTTTGGCTTTAGCATTTAAAGAGATAAGTCTATAATCCTCGGTGTCCCATTCAGCTTCAGTTTTAGGAATTCTTCCGGTGTTAACAATTTTCATTGGAACAAAAGGTCTATTAACTATAACTAGCCAAATTTGATAGTCTACGGATTGAAGAAAGTCTATCATTTTATTTTTCCAATAACCTTAGTTTGTTCCATCGAACCAAGGAGGTCTAGTATTAGATTGGCCTTCTTGATGAAGATGACCATTTAAGTTTGCCATGATCGTTCTCTAATACACTTAAGCTTTTTCAATAGAGTTTTGGCTTTGATACCAATTGTTGCCTAAGTATAGACTCTAGAGAGGGGGGGGTGTGAATAGAGTCTAAGCAAACTAAGGTCAATTTTTTATTTTAACTCACTAACTGTAACAAGACTTAACTTACTTGATAGATATTGAAGAAAGCAAACTGAATTTTAGATTTCAAAAGAAACTATTTATCAAACAAGATATGAAGCAATAAAAGTAAGAGATAGAGATAGAAATTGCAAACATATACTCAGCGATTTTTAGCAAGGTTCAGAAACTCCTACTCCTCGGCTCAAGACCCCTCTTGAGACTTCCCAATTCACTATGGCTTCTCCTTGCGGGTGGAGAGCAAACCTTTTACAAGAAGCTCTTCCTTGCTTCTAGGTGCTAAGAGAAACACATTCTCTTATTCTTTCTTGGGCCACACCAGCCCTTACAAGTTTTGAATAGGATTGAAGAAGTACAATATGATCTCTCTTAGATCTGAAGTACAAGATATAGCTCACTCTAGAGTGTGTATGAATAAATTGAAGCTCAACTCTCTTTTATGATATGAGATGTGTGTAAATAATGATGAAAAGCTTTTTGATTACTAGTGGATCTTTCTTAATAAATGCAACAAGCTTTTATGAAGGCTACCAGTCATTACATAGACTTTCAGAACTGTTCGATATAAATTCTAGCTGTTAGACACATATTTCGAGGAATAAAGCCCATTTGAAATTTGAATTCTTGCAGGTTCGGTAGACCGAAATAAATTGCTCTTGAGGATCGATCAACCGATTTAGTCAAAGGATGGCCATCAACCTTGGTTCGGTAGACTGATGAAAGAGTCCTCTTTGGTTCGGTCGACCGATTTGATATGAGGTTGATTACTCACCATATTTTGGTAGACCGATGAAAACTTCCATTTATTTCGGTCGACCGAAACTCCTTTCTCAAAAGCTCTAAAACCTTCTATGAGAATCAGCTCTGCTGACTTATACACCTCTTTAGATTCAGTCACCTGAAACTTTTTATGAGACTTTTAATATGCCAGGTTCAGTCGATCGATTTAGCTAGATCCTGAGGTTCGGTAGACTAAATTAGCTTAGGGGTTTTGATCCAAAGTCTCTATTTATATCGGTCGACTGATTTAATGTGCCCTTCTAATTCGGTCAACCGAATTGGTTTATGTTTCAGGAAACTTGTTATGATGATATGACAAGTTTGGTCCTTTGGTCCATAGGGATTGTGAATGAGTTGATTATGCATGATTTGAGAATTATGAGTTTCAAAGTGTTCATACAAACTTTAACAAAGATTCCTAAGTAGCTCACCATCCTAGCTACCCAATTGATGACATCTAGATAGCTTCTTTGAATCTTGAATCCTCCTTATCATGTCTTGACCATGCTTTCTCCTTTGAGCTTAAATGTGTACTGACTTATGTTGATGAGTGCTTTTAATCTGTAATTTGCTCAAGGTAGATATTAGTACACAAAGAACATCATTAATGAATTATGATCATCAAAAACCTTAGATTCAAGGTCAACATATATATATGAATAACAACAAACTCTTAAAATTAGAAGATATAAATATAACAAAATAAACTTTCTTTGAAAAGTTCAAGTAAGCCCACAAACATTTATAAAATTGCGTTCACACTCCAAAGGCACATGAAGGCAGCACTCTTTCTGGATTGTTTGTAACTTATTCGGGGACTTGTGTTTGGGTCTCGCCCATGTACCTGTGGTTTATCTTCAAGAAGTGGATCCGAAGGCCCCTTACAGGTCCACGGTTATAATAATAAAAAATAAAAAACCTACAAATTAAATTGCCCCTTCAGAATCCGACACTCAATCTCCCTCCTTTGCAGAATAAACTAGTGTTGATGCCTTTGGTTCCTTGTTAAATTTGAAGGTCCTCGTCTTCCCCTTTGCAGCCATAACAAAGGCGGCAATAGTCACCGCAACAAAGGCTGCAATAGTCACCGCGCCAACTGCCGCCCCTGCAATGATTCTGACATCTGGAGGATGGTGGCCCTGGTGGGGACCCTGGCAAGCATTTGGAGGCACCCCGCAGAGTCCTGAATTATTTGCATAGCACTCACTTGAAAAATAGGTTGCATTATAAAAAATAGGGACCTGACCTGACAAAAGTGTTGGGAAACGTGCTAGTTTTAAAAACTTTTCGAGGGATTTAAATTCATAGATCTTGATTCATCACTTAGAGACAAGTTTTATGCAAAAATAAAACATGATGTATCATTCAATTAAAAGATTGAATACTTACATCAAGGTTTGAGTAAACCTTAGATCTCTCCTCTAAAGTGAATGTTCTCACTTATTGTAGATCCCTTTTGCTAGACACCTTTTCCATGGATCTCCATCTTCTTGGTAATTCTTTTGCCTTTAGGAATCACTCATATGCCTCCATGAATGACCTTGGAAAACTAGGCTTGTGGGAGCCTCCATTAGATGAGAACATAAACCCTAATTTTCTAGAGAGAGAAAATTTATTCCTTTTTCCTTCTCATAAAAATCACCCCCTAAAATATACATAGACCATGTATATTTATAGGCAACATAAAAATAAAGAAAAGGAAACAACAAATCCTTCTCCATCTCTAATTCATATGTCTCAAATCTAATATGATTCCAATATCAAGTTGGGCTATGAGTGAGAATCCATTGGGCCTATTATTTTATTGGCTGCAATGAATTAATAATTGGCCCGGTCCATGGACCCAATTCAATTAATTCATAAATTAATTTCTACTCCACTAAAAGAAATTAATTGAACTCCAATTAAATAATAAATAACCTCTAAGTCAATATTGCACTTTGACCCCTCTATGCATAATTAGTTATCGGATAAATATAGCCATCAATCCGACTACTTAATTAATATATTTATTTTGGTACCTTTGATTATTTCTGGCTCGATCACAATAAAACATTTGTTTGACAAAAATAATAATTTAAATAAATAAATATATAATAAATCATTTTGTCTAAAAACACACGAAGGCCTTCGAATTTACTTTGTGATCAACCATAATCAATACAAAATAAATACAAGTAGCAATGATGCAAATATTGAAAATATAACCCTCTAACTATTAATTACATAACTACCCAAAGTGTCGGTCTAAGGATCCCGAAGAATCCGCCGAACAAATCAAAGTAATTATTAATTAATAAAAGAGTCTATATTTTTTTCATGCTTAAGAGTCAAATGCCATGACGGTGATAGGGAGTAATTGCATACGACGGCTCTCGCAATATATCTCAACCTAACGCGGATCCAGTTCAAGTCTTAATTAATTATGAGTCCATCCATAATTACCGACTATGAACAATTTATAATTACTATTTATATATCATGCATTGATTGTCATCACATACATATATATAAATATTTCTTGTAATTAACTGGACACTATCAATTTCATAGTGAATTGAAACATAATACATTGAATTCACCAATTATATAAATCATAAATATTTCAGATATGTCAGGAACATATGTCAATACAATCCAGATAGGAATTTGCTATGCCAGGGCATATAAATCCCAACAGCTCCCACTTGCCCTCATAGCCAATTCAAATTGCACCTAACTTCAATGTTATCCAGATGATGATCAAAATTATTGATCAATGACACCTTTGATAATGGATCAACAAAGTTGTGTTCCAATGCAATGTTTTAACTACAAGTGCATTTTCTTGCCGGACAATATCATGTCGAACATGATACTTCCTCTCAGTGTATCTTGTTCCTCTATGGAACCTTGGGTCATTGGTTTGGACTACTTCTGCACTATTGTCACAATATAGCTCGATAGGCAGGCTAGTATGCTCCACAACCTCTAAATCAGTGAGATCAAACCAATAGGCTTATATTGCCACCTTTAAGGCTGCAATATGTTCCACCTGCAGGTTTGAGTCAACAGTTGAAATCTGTTTGACAATCTACCAACTGATTTCCCTTCCATTAAGTGAACATACACTAAGTCATGAACCTCATAGTATCTACTTCTGATTGAAAATCAGAACTAGCATACCTGACTAGGACCATATCATCACATCCATAAATGGGTATGATATCATTGATTCTCCTTAGGTACTTAATGATATTTTTCACAATAGACCAGTTGTCAAGTCCAGTATTGGACTGATCTCTACTGACTATCCCTACCATGTAGCGGATGTCCTGTTTGGTATAGACCATGGCATATATGAGACTCTCATATGCCGAAACATATTGTTCCAGTCTCATTTGCTCAATCTCCTCTGCTAGTCTTGAAAAACTACTTACTAGAGAGAGCGATCCATATCAATAAAGCAAGAACTCATTCTTTGAGTTATGCATACCAAACCTGGTCAAAACTTTATCAATGTAGGATTATTAAGATAAGCCTATTTTCCTTTTAACCTGATCTTGCAAAAGCTTGATCCTAGGAATATAGCTTACATCTTGAAAATCCTTCATTTAAAAGTAATTGAACAACTACCTTATAATTGATGACAAAACTTCCACGTCATTATAAATGAGTAGGATGTCATCAATATATAGAATTAAGAAAAATAATAACATTCCCTTGTATACTCATGATTTATTCACTAAGAAATCTTCTGGTATCTTTTTGTAGATTAACTTGCCTTCCATAGGAATCACCCTACTAGAAAGTTCTACAAGATCCCAGAATTTATTAGAATACATAGATTCCAACTCTGATTTCATAGTAACTCACCAAAACGATCTGTATCCACATCAGTTCACGCTTCCGTGTAGCTTACTGGGTCCAACTCATGTTTAACAGGGATGTCCATAATGGTCTCACCTAAAAACATGATTCTGTCGAATTGGATGACAATCCTCCCACTACATCAATGTACCGATGCAAGAATCTGTGTAGTAGATGATGCTAACGCATCAATAGGGAATTCATATATTATTCTCAATCTCTATAATAAGTGTGTTCACATGTGGTACACCTGGTACTCATACCAAATTCTCTAACATTATGCTACTAGGTATGTGATTCATAATATGATTCTCCTATAGATAAACAGTGAGTGAAAACAATCAACTTTTATCTTTGAGATCATAAAATAATCCATCCTAGTGACATTTAGAGTAGCTATCAAATCTAGCATGCCTATGATCTGCTTCCAACTTACTTGTCCATATCAAGCGCACATGTGCAAGACTACCCCATATGTGCATATGATTCAAACTAATATTTAGTCAAAAACACAGCTCAACGGTATCCTTGAGACAGACTAAGATGGAATGCAGTTCATAATGCGCATCGATGTCATTAACGCTAAACTCTTAAATGAAAGAGATAATGTGGCATTACTGATCATAGATCTAACCATGTTAAGTGGAATTCTGTTATTCCTATTTGACACCTAAATTAATTTAGCGTCAATTGCGGAAAACTGGTACACAACACCCTCATTGACCATATAGTCTTTGCACTATCCCAAGAAATACTCAAATACTCGATCAGATCGAAAGTGTCTTGATAAGTTTACCTAATCTGAGCTCCACATCAGTCTTGACCCTCTCAGAATATACCAAAAGTATAAGACTTGTGTCGCAACAGGTAAATTTATCCAAAACGTGAGTAATCTTGATTGGATGTTCATAAGACTACACGTGTACGTGTGTACCGACTCCAATTGTTCTTTATGTCTATTTCATTTGGCTGATTAAGCCCTTAGAGTTATCTATCCTTCAAAACAAGATTCACAAGTTTGGTCTAGGCTCCTCTGCCTCACTAGGTAATAAACCTTCTTTAACCAATCTTTAAATCTCATTTTGATTGATTACAACCCAAAAATAGACACCAAAAATGCAATGAGTCAGGAATAACAAATTTTCTCTTAACATTCAATCTAGAAGATGCAACATTAGTTTCTACATCCTGCAAATCTTAAGAGCTTGTGATTATAGTATATTAACCATCTTTCAATACACCAGAAGTAATCACATATCTATTCAATTTTATAAAACCAGTTTTACAAAATAACGATCTAGTTTTAATAAGCCAAAAGTGAAATAAGAATGAGATTGCGTTTCACTTCTGTGCATAAAGATAGTTCTCTAATACTAATATCCTCATACTCTCTAATTTCAGATGTAATACTCCCACTGACTTAGTTACAACCTTGGCATCAGGTTAAAAGATAAATATATACCCATATCATCAAGGCTTCTGGATTCCTGAAATCCTTACAATAAATTGCAAACATGTTTAGTGGCTCCAGAATCTATCCATCAGGAATCAATAGATACAACCACATAACATGGCTCAATGATTAAATATATATTTTCCTATGCCACGTCATTGTTTAGACAGTTTGTCCTTTAGTGTCTTAGTTAACGGCAAAAAGAAACAGTTTCATTCGCCCTCCACATACACTGCCTTATTCCCTTTAACCTTTTAGATACCTATGTTTTGTGCTAGCCTAGTCCTATTATCATCCTTCTTCTTTGCTTTGCCCATCCACTTGGGCCTAGAAGAAGATGGTATAGACTAGGTTAGATTGATAGGAACGCCCATACTCTTGATTATCCCTTCTTCTGTTACCAATTCTATAAGAATATCAGCGAGTGTGAACTCAAACTGATTCCTTATTTAGTTCACTCTAACAGAGTCGAATGAGTTTGGTAACAAGGCAATAATCATGTCAACTTGAAACTTACCACCCAAGTCAGCCTTATTGATCTCCAGCTAATTTTTAAATAATAAACAATCATTTTCCAAAATTTGATTTCAAACTGGAGTTCATCAGGCTATCTTGATGGTATTTAAATTTGACACAGTACTTAGGCATATGCTCTATCTAATCTCACCAAAATATCTCATTGACATTTAATATGATGCTTGAAGAAAATAAAATAATACAAATGTTAGCTTTGGAGTATATTCGAGCTAAACTCTAGAATATTGCACCAAGTCATATCATTTGCCTTATCTAATTTATTAAAAACATTAATGTCAAATTTGGTATCTCAAAGTAAAAGAGATAGGTATAGGAGTAATAAACACATTTTGTACCCTTACGTTGTGAATAAAATATCTAAGTTCATTTTCCAGTCATTATAAATAAGGTCCAATATCATAGAATATGTAAGCAAGTAGATAAACTGGATTAGACATAATTAATCTGAATATAAATGCATTCATACAATATGCAAGGTGAATTATTAATTCTGTCATGCATATTTAAAATTAAAATGAGTTTGTTAACCACATAATATAATAAATCTCAATCAAACAAGAGATCATTATCATTATTGGTGAACAATCCCTTTTAATTAATGCGGGTCCCTCAACTCTGTAGCATAATAAATCAACCAATCAATATGTCAATAACTTATCCTGTTGGAGGAGTTCATTATTACTATTGTTGAGATTCATTTACTATTAGGTGAGCACTTCCATTAAAATAGTATGTGGGTCCCTTAACCACTGCATGAAAAATCGGATAACCAATACACCAATAACTTATTCGGTTGGCGAAGTTCATTATTGCTATTGGCGGGCAAATCCCATCATCTCCATATCTCTTAAAACAATGCCTTGTCTATCTATATGAAATGACTCCCGATTATGTTTAGCCTTTCTAAAATCACCTAGTGTAGACCACTCCGTTGGGGAGCTAACACTATTGATTTTAGATTGAGTGTATAACATTATTAATGCTCTAATGAAAAATAAAACATTAAATCTGTTGTCATTATAATCTAGACTCTTTAAATCATGCGTAGGGCCTTATTTTTAAAGATCTAATTACAATGAACATTTAATATTTTTATTTTCATGAGACAACCATTCTTGTAATATTAAGACTCTTCAAATCATGCGTGGGGCCTTATTTTTGAAGATCTAATTACAATGGTTTTAATAACGAAGGCCATGGGGCAATGTATAAAAATCCCCGCTCCCACTCAATTTTTAATCATTCATAATTAGGGTTTTCATTTTATTCATTTACATGATATAATGCATGCAAAACGTCTTGATTTTAATCCAATTAAATTTAGAAAATATTTGGACTTTAAACGATTCACTAATATTTAACTTGAGGCACACTTCAAAAATAATTTATAAAAATAATTTTTCGTTTCCCAATAAGTGCCCTCTAATTAATTAGTAATCAAATCCAATTAATTTTCATAATTTAACTAATATAAATCAAGCCATTTAAATAAATATCATGGATCCAATGCATGAACAATAATAATTAGCAATTAATTATTTCATGCATCTCATACAACAATAAATGACAGATAAAGCAAATAAAATGGCCAATGGAATCAGCTTTTAACATTTAATTGCTCTAATCACTGCGCGAAGATCTTCCATCAGCTTACAAACACCCACATAAGGTTGGTACGCACCAGGAGAAGCAAAACACGGCTTGGAACGCGACTGGAGGGCCCCACACGCGCTCACACGCGCCTGGGGCATGCTGCAGGTGAAGCCACGCGCCCCCACGCGCTGGCACGCGCCTGGGGCGCGTGGGACGCGCCCCCACGCGCTGGCACGCGCATGGGGCGCGTGGGACGCGCCTCCACGCGCCTGCACGCGCGTGGAGGCCATACACATTTGGCTGGCGCGTGCAATGCACGCGCCAGCAGATGTCACCTCCTGGCGCGTGTTCCTCACGCGCCAGGCTCACCCCAGATGCACTACACTTGATTCTAGCCTCCTCCGACGTCTCTTCTCGCCGCCGGTGATGCTCCGGCCACCGGAAAAACGCCGAAAAATCCAGAAAAATTAATAAAAATTTCCAGAAATTAAATTAGGCCTTAAAAAATTCCAGAAAAATTCCGGAAAATTGCTAAAAAATCCCAGAAAATTTCTGAAGCCTAATTTAACCCTCTTGGACCTTCTTGAAGCTTCATAGCATCCTTTGACGAAGATTACATGGCTTTAAAAATATTTACAATTTGAAATACAATGAAAAAAAAAAAAAAATTAAATTACATCATTGAACTTTCAAACGGCTAAATCAAAGCCTTAATTACATTAATCCAAAGATAAAATTACATGTAATATTCCTATAAGCTTCATCCATGGCCCAACCATACATCATCATTCATTCACAATCATTCATACATCATTATGTATCAATATATATCAACATATTAAATTATACATCAACATACATCAATAAAAATATATATGAATATAATTTTGGATCCATGAATGATGATTTTCATAAAATCATGATCTCTAATAATGAATCAAACCATGCTCTGATACCACTGTTGGGAAACGTGCTAGTTTTAAAAACTTTTCGAGGGATTTAAATTCATAGATCTTGATTCATCACTTAGAGACAAGTTTTATGCAAAAATAAAACATGATGTATCATTCAATTAAAAGATTGAATACTTACATCAAGGTTTGAGTAAACCTTAGATCTCTCCTCTAAAGTGAATGTTCTCACTTATTGTAGATCCCTTTTGCTAGACACCTTTTCCATGGATCTCCATCTTCTTGGTAATTCTTTTGCCTTTAGGAATCACTCATATGCCTCCATGAATGACCTTGGAAAACTAGGCTTGTGGGAGCCTCCATTAGATGAGAACATAAACCCTAATTTTCTAGAGAGAGAAAATTTATTCCTTTTTCCTTCTCATAAAAATCACCCCCTAAAATATACATAGACCATGTATATTTATAGGCAACATAAAAATAAAGAAAAGGAAACAACAAATCCTTCTCCATCTCTAATTCATATGTCTCAAATCTAATATGATTCCAATATCAAGTTGGGCTATGAGTGAGAATCCATTGGGCCTATTATTTTATTGGCTGCAATGAATTAATAATTGGCCCGGTCCATGGACCCAATTCAATTAATTCATAAATTAATTTCTACTCCACTAAAAGAAATTAATTGAACTCCAATTAAATAATAAATAACCTCTAAGTCAATATTGCACTTTGACCCCTCTATGCATAATTAGTTATCGGATAAATATAGCCATCAATCCGACTACTTAATTAATATATTTATTTTGGTACCTTTGATTATTTCTGGCTCGATCACAATAAAACATTTGTTTGACAAAAATAATAATTTAAATAAATAAATATATAATAAATCATTTTGTCTAAAAACACACGAAGGCCTTCGAATTTACTTTGTGATCAACCATAATCAATACAAAATAAATACAAGTAGCAATGATGCAAATATTGAAAATATAACCCTCTAACTATTAATTACATAACTACCCAAAGTGTCGGTCTAAGGATCCCGAAGAATCCGCCGAACAAATCAAAGTAATTATTAATTAATAAAAGAGTCTATATTTTTTTCATGCTTAAGAGTCAAATGCCATGACGGTGATAGGGAGTAATTGCATACGACGGCTCTCGCAATATATCTCAACCTAACGCGGATCCAGTTCAAGTCTTAATTAATTATGAGTCCATCCATAATTACCGACTATGAACAATTTATAATTACTATTTATATATCATGCATTGATTGTCATCACATACATATATATAAATATTTCTTGTAATTAACTGGACACTATCAATTTCATAGTGAATTGAAACATAATACATTGAATTCACCAATTATATAAATCATAAATATTTCAGATATGTCAGGAACATATGTCAATATAATCCAGATAGGAATTTGCTATGCCAGGGCATATAAATCCCAACAAAAAGATTGTTCGAAATGTTAAACGTTTTGATCCTGACGAGCAGGCCGAGTTGTAATGGGATGTTACCAGTTAGCCGGTTGTGATCGAGCTTAAGGACATTCAAATAGCTACAATTCGCTAGGCTCGGAGGAATAACACCAGAAAAATTATTAGAGGAGAGGTCAAGGGATGTCACGAAGGAAAGCATACGGGATATATTGGAAGGGATAGATCCATAGAGGTGGTTGCCGGAAAGGTCTAAGCCGGTTAGGGTTGTGCAATTCTCGATACCACGAGGGAATTGACCCTTGAGACCCATATTGGATAGGCGGATATTTAGGACTCTATTTTCGTCAGGGTGCCAGCATTCAACACCAGTGAAATTGCAAATGAAACCTTCTATACTGTTGCTGAAATTCCAGGGAACCAAGTAGTTAAGAGGGTCTTCAAGAGACTCCTTCATAGTTCTCAAGCAATAGACATCAGTTAATGTAGCATAGGCTACAGTAAATAATATCACCCACACAAAACTGTGGAACATTAGAATACTGAGACCACTGCCAATTAGGGTCATGATGCATCAAAATTTTAATCAAGTTCTCCACTGCAAATAGTTGTTTGCATGGACACCCAGCGAAAAAGAAAATGAAATCTATATATAATTACATTGTAATGGAGTAGTCATAAGCTACCAATTAACGGCTTGTTTGTCATTTTCTTTTCCACCACTAGTACCAAAAAAAATGGTCAAGTTCTTGGAATTAAAGCTCACACGGTAAGACTATTCGTCCATTTGACTGGTTAATGATATGATGGCAATAGTCCGCCCGTCGGACACTCTCAAGTGTACGGTTTAAAAAGACTTTGCCAACCAATTTAACAATTTTGGGTGAGAATGGGTTTACAGTGAAAATTCGCACGTTGCAAAGCAGGGGAAGTAACATCCCTAAAATTTAAACTGGGCGTTATGAGGGGTGTTGTTTTGTGATTTGACTCAAAAGATTAAATTATTGGGTGGGATTAAGATCCAACCCATATATACATATTTATTTTTTCATCCGGATTCAATGTGGAACAATTTTCCCCTTGTAACACCTAGCCTATAAGCAATGCTTAATATCCCACAGTTTTGGTAGAATTTTGAAGCATAACATGACACTGATTGAGCTATTTAGACCCTCAAACTTGACACATAGGTTTTGCATTTAGCCAACTTATTAAAGAAAACCAAACAAACAACAGGCCAGAAAAAGAAGAAAATACTCAAAGAGTGGGAGGCCCAGCCCAGGGAAAACTAGCCGTTATCACTGCAAACTAGAGACAACAGCAAAGAGATCAACTACGAGGGCAAACAACAGTGCTACAATTCAGAGTTACAACATCTCTCCATTACAGAACTTGGTAGAGCCCACGCTGAACAATCGATCGCGAGCTTTTACAGTCCTTGAATGTAACAGAGAGGAGGTCATATCGGATGCAATCATCCACAAGCCTGCAATTTACCTCCGGCGGGTTGAATTTCCTCTTAAAGGTACGATCTCCTTCCAAATGTAATAAATACGCCCAGAAAAGCACAACATGTAAGTAGAAGCAAGGTCAAATTTTGTATTGGGCTTCCAAAGATCTGCAATCCACTTAGCTATATAGTTGAGAATCCCATCCCCACAATAAATTCCACATTGCTTCTTGTTCAGGGATGGATTCAGAAAATTGTTCAGGGATGGATTCAGAAAATTATGTGAGTGGGGTGACCTTTAACAGCAACAAGAAAAAAAAAAAAAAAAAAATTCAAACCATTATAATAAGCAAAAAAAAAAAAAAAAAAAAAAAAATCAAGCTATTATAATAACCTTCTGCGTAAAGTATTTGATGGTTAGATTGATACTTTCAGTGGTTTGAGCCATTGACCTTTTCTCTTTAAAGAAGCTCAATGTGAATTTGTGGGGGTAATAGTGCTAATTTTCAAACATTTCTGTAGGGGTAATGGTTAATTTTTATAAGTATATATTTCAAAATAATTTCTTTATAGGAGTATAATATAAAAAATAAAACAAATAAAAAAATTTCAGTGGAGACAATTATTCCTATTCATGTTACTTTCAAACATTCAAATTTTTAACATTTCATCGCTTGTGAAATCATGTGCGAGTACTTTGTATGTGCTTACCTACCTTTTTAGGTCTTCGGATAACTTTTTTCTTTAGAATGCTGAAAAAATATCACTAGACAATTGATGGGTTAGCAAAAGTGACAATTACCAATTTATGTGTGCTCAAATTGAGAGATGCGTAGTCAGACAAACTAAATTCCATTGTCACGTTAGTCATGACTTTGTGTAACATTTCCCCATACAATATGGTTCAATTTCCTCTTTCTATTCCATGCCAATTATTCATTATCAACATAAGTCCAAGAAAACATGATATGAGTAGTCATAAGCGACCAATTAAGGACTTGTTTCCTTGTCATTTTCTTTTCCACACCACTAGAACCATTAGTCAAGTTTCTGTAATTAAAGCTCACACGGTAAGACTACTCGTCCATTGACTGGTGAATGATATGATGGCAATAGTCCGCCCCGTCAGACACTCTCGCGTTGTACGGTTTGAAAAGACTATGACCCATTTAATAGTTTTGGGTGAGAATGGGTTTACGGTGAAAATTCGCACGGTGCAACGCAGGTGAAAATCACCCTGCCCTACACGCTTCAGAATACAAAAATAATAGTAGTATTTTACTCACATGAGTTTATTAATATTCCTCAAATTTAAACTGTGCGTTTTGGAAAAAAGTTAAATGGATGCAAAAACGATTATTTGTTGACTGTCCAGTCCATTCACAGTATCATCTTTGATAGGTCGAAATACAAATCATAAAGAATTACTGTGTCATTTCTATTTTTATATAATTTTAAAACAAATATTTTCAGGACTAAATTATCCTTTAAAATTCTTTCCACTTTGTGATGCATGTATATACAGTGCCGTTCAATTGCTCCTTGGCGTGTAGGGAGTAATATACGTGATTTAAATAATTACCTAATTTTATTTCGTAATTTATTTTATTATTTGGATAGATTTTGATCTATATTTATATTTAAAAAAGAGTTAGAAATAGAATAAAATAGAAAAATTAAATTTGTTTTTATTTGAAACATCTTGATTGAATTTCAATTAAACATTTTTTTATTTAATTTTAATTGGTAATTTATTTATTGATTGAATTTCAAATAAAGAATTACCTATTTAATTTTAATTGGTAATTTATTTAATGATTATCTATTTTATTAAATAATTACATATTTTACTTTAATATGTAACTTGTTTTAGTTGTTTTAATAATAATTTGAAACTTCTTGATTGAATTTACCTAATTTTAATTGAAAATTTATTTTATTATTTAGATCGATTTTGATCTATATTTATATTAAGGAAATAGTTAAAAATATAATAAAATAGAAAAAGTAAAATTGTTTTAACCTTGAAGAATTGCAGGTATAATATGATTTATTTTACTTAGTAAATTATAGGATTTATTTTAATTGGTAACTTATTTTATTATCTAAAGAGTTAGAAATGGAATAAAATAGACAAAAATAAAATTGATTTAACCTTGAAGAATTCCAGGTATAATTTGATTTATATTTTAATTGGTAACTTATTTTATTATTTGGTAAATTATTATATTATTATATCTATAATAATTTGAAACATCTTGATTGAATTTCAATTAAACAATAACAATTACTTATTTAATTTTAATTGGTAATTTATTTATTGATTGAATTTCAAATAAGAAATTACCTATTTAATTTTAATTGGTAATTTATTTATTGATTGAATTTCAAATAAGGAATTACCTATTTAATTATACTTGCTAATATATTTAATGATTTGAAACATCTTAATTGAATTTCAATTAAACAATTACCTTTTTAATTTTAATTGGTAATCTATTTTATATTTCGTAAATTATTTTATTAAATAATTACCTATTTTAATTTAATACGTAACTTATTTTTGTTGTTTTTAATAATGATTTGAAACTTCTTGATTGAATTTACCTGCTAATTTTAATTGGTAATTTATTTTATTATTTGGATAGATTTTCATCTATATTTATATTTAGGAAAAGTTAGAAAAAGAATAAAATAGAAAAAAGAAAATTGTTTTAACCTTGAAGAAGTTACAAGTATAATAGGATTTATTTTATTTGGTAACTTATTTGATTTATTTTAATTGGTAACTTATTTTATTATTTGGATTTGAAACATCTTAATTGAATTTCAATTAAACAATTACCATTTTAATTTTAATTGGTAATTTATTTCTTGATTGAATTTCAAATAAACAATTACCAATTTAATTTCAATAAGAATTTCGAGAATAATATGATTTATTTTAATTGGTAGCTTATTTTATAATTTGGTTAGTTATTTTATTATTTTATCTATAAATGATTTGAACATTTTGATTGAATTTCAATAAAACAATTACTTATTTACTTTTAATTGATAATTTATTTATTAATTGAATTTCAAATAAAGAATTGCCTATTTAATTTTAATTGGTATTTTATTTAATGATTACCTATTTTATTAAATAATTACCTATTTTATTTTAATACGTAAATATTTTTTAATATTAATAAATAAATACCGAAACGCTGAAACTCTTTACATTTTTAATAATATTATAAATATATATACACAACCATATATATAGTCTTTTTTCTTTCGTTTATAATTGTTTTTTTCTTCCTTTTCTTCCTCTCCTCCCTAAATTCATATTTGTGAATTATTTCTTCCCATTCCTTTTTTTTTTTTTTTTTTTTTAAGTTCTTTCTTTTTCTTTCCTTTCCTTATATATATAACCATATTTTGAAGGGATTCCAACCATCTCATCTCTCTTTCAATGTTTTTCACAATAACTAAAGCTCAAATTCTAAAATTTTACTTCAACCAAAACTCAATCTCATAATATTACTTCAATTAAAACTTTTCATAGAAGGTTTTGTTTTTTTTCTGCTTTCTTTCTTAATTATTCACGAGTATGAAGTTACAGAGGAGAGGGAACAAAAAAAAAAAAAAAAGGAAAAAATCAATTACAAAAGAAAATGAAATCTATATATAATTACATTGTAATGGAGTATTCATAAGAAAATGAAATCTATATATAATTACGCTCTTGCGTGTGTTTTAATATTCGATAATACCTGTTCCCTAGACTTCTTTTTTGTTAATTTCTTGCTCAACTGTTAAAATGATCTGTAGTGTTCTTATGAGTATAATTAACAGCCCTTATAAGTTTATACCAAAACGTGCAATACAATACACACAATTATTGATGTCGTTTATTTTATTATTATTATGCAACATGATTAAAACCTTAATATAACTTTTCTTTTTTCTGTTTTTACCTTAATTGGTAAGAAAATCACACCCCTATTACAATTATACCCTATAAGGAGACTCAAACCCTTAACCTTTTATTTTGAAAAACGAAAACCTACCACTAGATTACAACAAGTGCCAAGGTTTTAAAAAAAAAAAAAACCTTGTCATCAATGGGGTATTACTGTATTAGTCTCTCCTCCAATATGGATGGGATAGAAACAATATCGATGGGGGGGTGTATAATACATGTAAATGAAAAACCAAAAAATAGACAAAAGCAGAAGTGAAGGTTGGATTTTTTTATTGTATTTTATATATTTCAACCAATTTCTTTTGTATGATATGCATACAATGTACAGTATTGTTTGAACTCTGAACTCCCACGTCTTACAGAGAAAAAAACAAAAAACTGGAATTTCACACAGATTTTCTGTTTACACATACATGGAGATACGGTTATGGAAGTGAACAACTGAGGCATAATCAGTGTTGACACATACATGGAGTTAACAGGCTCAACCAAACCCCAAATAAATGTGATCAAGTTTGTATTACACAGACTAAATCTCTTATTTGATGAAAAATCTAAACCCATCTACCTTGGGTACGTTGGCAGGTCCAAGTTCAAATTTGTCACATTGATCAATGATAATGACAGAATTGTCAGAAGGATTATCTGTTTGAATGTCTATTTAGGGGTTCAGAGAAGTTTATTCTGTTTGAAACTCTAAATACTTGGTTTACGTTGAGCTTGATTCAAATTTCAAACTAAACCAACCCAAGTGGGACCTGTAACAGTTACATAGTATTTGATTTATGACACAAAAGAAGAGAGCAACGTGAAAAAAGAATGTAAAAAAATTCAGCAAAGTGCATTATTACATAATTTATATACAGAACTAAAATAAGCCATACTTATTATAGTCACCAACAGCACATCTTCCTTCAGTTGTTTTTAGGCCATCTGCAAGCAATGCCAAGTTAATATGAATAAATAATCATTCATCAGATAGAAACAATTTATCAAGAAATCAAGCTCAAAAGCAATTAGGACTTCCACAGTTAAGCATCAAAATATATAATCCAGTTATGGGCCGCCATGTACTTCTTAATACAAACACACAATACCTTTGAGCTGGGAAAAGAAAGGCTCCTGAACATGAAGTTCAAAGTCAATAGTTTTCAACATCTGATAGAAGGGCATACAATTTGTTAAGAACAATGACACCAATGTATCATAAATAAATATAATAAGAAGGAAAACAGAAAATGATTGACATCATCACATTTAACTTACATTTACTAATTCAGACCCCTTTGCTAGAACCAATTGATTCCACTTTTCTTCTTTCTGCTTCATGGAACTGTCTTCATGGATCAAAGTTCCAGAAGATATAGACTGGTACAAAGCTGATGCTAGAGGCTTGCGTAGAGGATATTGAGAAACACCTCCGGAAAAATCTGTAACGAGTGTGAATGAAAATTTTATTTCCTTAATCATAAATGCATTGGCCACCAGATTTGTGTAATCTATTGTCAAAATTAAGCTTCATTCTACCGCAACATAAGGTGTTTCCACGACATAACTACAATTCAATAATGCTTCGTTTCCTACCATGTGCATGGCAAGTGCCACACACCAGTAGCATTATGTACCTCAGCTTGGATCACCAATCGGATTGGCATGAAATTTGGATTAAAAAGTTGGACAAAATTTAAATATTTGACTGTTTTAGTACTTTTTTAATGATTCATTTCAAAATTGAGTTAACTATAGAGAAGCTAGGACAAAATTTAAATATTTAACTGTTTTAGTACTTTTTAGAAAAAATATTGCTGCTTGTTTCTTATATTGGTTAGTATAGCTGCATAGATTCCGAAAGTTCTTTAACATGCCAAGAAAGATTCCAATGGTTTATAATTAAGGTCCACAGTACAAAAGGATTCACAAGTTTGATTTGTACTAAATATGTCTCAGATTGTTTGCCTCTTTTTCATTCCTACTCTCTTCTTCTTCGGCTTCTATCCGACTTCACTTATTTGAGCAAGTTACTAAAACAATATTCTTTTTCCTGCCCAAATCCCACATCAACTACACACCAAATGGCATTCAGCCCAGCGCATGTATGTATATATATGTACCTCAGCTTGGATCACCAATCGGATTAGTACTTTTTTAATGATTCATTTCAAAATTGAGTTAAGTATAGAGAAGCTAGGCCAAATTTATGTTGACTACAATTGAAAAATAATAATAATAATCCAATAGTCTAAATTCAGATAATTTCAACAATACAAACAAATTCAGATTCAGAATAGGCCTCCAAACTGCCCACAAATTCACAACTTACAAACCACGTCCCCACCCCATCTGAATTTGGCATGCATAAATAAATGGACACAACAAGCTTCAGGAATCACTACCTTAACAAAGTAATTGAGCTATAGATCAGTCATTCATTTCTAAATAACACAACACTCAAGAACAGAAGCTCTACAAAATTAACTGAATTATACACACACATACTACACATCATAGCTGGTGACTTGAGTAGGGAAGAAGTGTGTGTGTGTGTGTGTTGAGTAATGAGTTTTGTGGAAGTGTAGATAGTGAAGATTTGATTTTGATGATTAAACATGTACCGGTGTGATTGCAATTGGGGTTTGCAGGGTCGTTCTTGAGGAGGTTAGAACAGTACTCCTTTGAAAGGCCTATATCGAATCCTAGGGTTTCGTCGATTAAGGACGCGAGTGTAAAGTTGAGCACCTCCTCTATGCATTCTTTGAGTTGTACCGGACTGAGTCCTGGAGACGATGGCTCTTCGTGTTCCTCCATTTCTCACACTTCAATTCTCTCTCATCTTCAATTCAATTGCAGTCTATCAGATGTGCTGTTGCTATGATCTTGGTGGGCCCAATCCCCCTCCATTTTTTTACTTGTTCGTGTGAACTATCTTTCGTTTTTTTTTTTTTTTTTCTTTTTTTTAAGTGCCTTTTGTAATGGAGATAGACAAACCAACGTGTAATTTAAAGCTGCAGGAGCTTATTTTCTTAAAGTCACGGTCCAACAATTTTAAGAGCATGAACAAAGTCGAGAAATAGAGTTTAAATTTTTCCAAGAAATTTTATCATTTGGCAAAATTTCACTAACTTAAGTAATTTAGATTATAAGAAAGTTGAGGTATTAAAAAAAAGGAAGATTTATTAACAAATTCTCGTTGTTTTGCGAATGTCAGTAAGAAAAGATTAATAAAAAATCAATATGGTCTAAATAATATTGCCCATACCTCTCAAAATAAATGGCAAAGATTAGAGTTCCCAAATAAACAAATTGGCATTAGAGAAAATAAGTAAAATTTACTCTTTATTATTTTGAGACATAATATTATTGTTAGTGGTTTACCAAATTTGTGACTCAATTTCTTTAAAAGTTAGAAGCAGAATTATAATAATCAACATTAAATTAAATTTAAAAACAAAATAATATAAACTTCGAATATTTTCCAAATTCCAATCTAAAATTTCAGTAGTTTTGTTAAATTTAAGTCTACAAAGTTTCATTATTTAGTACATATATTATAATAGATTTTTTTTTTTTTTTGTAATATTATTAAAACGGTTCCTGAAAAAGGACATCTTTTTAAAAGGAAAGGGAGTATTTACTAGCATGTTATTAATATTTTAAGCAATCTAAGCAACACAAAAAATCCAAAACATGTTTTATTTGTCACGTGTTTTCTCTTTCTTTCTTTTCTTAAAATGATAGGGTCACCGAATGATTTATCCGAATAAGTCCCGGATCTGACGTGTTTTTGTCCACCTCATTTACTAAAATAGTTTCCAAAAAATAATTGTTTATACGTGATAAGTATAGCCAACCACGTCAAATTCGATATTATTTCGAGAATTCCTTTTCGATTTCTCTATTATTACTCTTTTTTAAATAATCATTTTTTGTGGATCTCTTTTGACATTATTATTATTATTTTAAAAAATATGCTTTTAACAGATCGAATATTCCATTAATATAATCAAATATAAATTTATTAAGGGCGAATTGCAAAAAATTCCCTCAACTTTCACCTGTTAGCGGAACCCCCTTATGAATTGTTTTAGCAAAAAAATCCCCTTAACTATCATGAGGGGGTATTTTAACTAATGTTTGTTTAAGGGATTATGTTTTGGACGAAAATATCCCTTAAATAGTTACCTTCTTTTTTCTTTTTCTTTTTTCTTTTTTTTTTTCTAACCTCTCATTCTCTTCCCTCCCACGATCGCCACCACAACCCACCTTAAACAGGATGAAATATATATATTCCACAGTTTATATATATAATGGATAATTGAAGCCAAGTGAGAGGAGAGAGAAATAGGATGAAATCCAAAGGAAAAATCTTGGATTTATTACAGGTAGAGGCATAATTAAGGATGATTTGGGATTTTTGATGAATTACTAATGGATTGTTTTCCCCCAGGTTTTAACATGAAGGTCTTGAGAGACTCTATTAAGTTTGCCCATCAAAAATTCCTTTTGAATTCCCAATTATTTAGTTTAAATCAGATGGTTTATTAACTAGTGAAACCACCTTTGAGCCATTCATGAACTGTTTAGGAGCATAATTCATTAAAATCGAAGTCTCAATGTTATGTGGTGGGTTATGATGGCGATGGTGGGATGGAGGAGATTGAGAGGTTAGGGAGAGTAAGTTTAAAAAAAAAAAAAAAAAAAAAAAAAAACCCACCACCTTCGACTTTCACCTGGTAGCAAAACCCCCCCATGAATTGTTTTAGAAGAAAATCACCCCTGAGGGGTATTTTAACTGATGTCTGTTTAAGGGTTATGTTTTGACTGAAAATACTCCTTAAACCCTATCCCTCAGTTTGTTGTTGTTGTTGTTTTTTTAATGAATTATTCCTCGGAGTAAATTTTTTTTCCCTTGTCGTCCTTTTGTCGTTCACAGTTCAGTTCCACTCCTGAATTTGAGGTCAGTAATTTATCTTTATCAATTTCTCTTTGAAACCATTAATTTATCTTGAGAAACTTGTGTATTACTACTACGTATATATTAATCTGCGTGTATTGATGAGTTCCAAAACAGAATGGAACTCAATGCCCGTCTTCTGAGGATTTGGGCAAGCATGATTTAACGAGTTTCTTGCATTCCCTTTTTCATGATTTCAGAGTTTATATCCATTCAATTTCAATCGCTTCCTTTAGGTATTTAAGATTCAGTTTTTAGGATGTTGACTTGTTTAATTCTGAGTGAATCTTCAGCAAGTTTCAGACTAATGGAGCTAAACTTTTGTTATTCTCTGTAGTTTTGGTTCTTGTTTGCTTCAATCATTCCAAATTTTGAATCTTACCTTTTGTAAATTGAGGTGAAACATGCCCTCAAGTATAATAATTTGGATCAAGTCACCATATAAATCTTTATGTGCACAAATTTGGATGCCATTAAGACCCTTCACCATTAGGGTAGCACTCCCTCCCAAATGCATATACAACCCCTCTTTTGGCACTCGAACTTGGGGTTGTTTTTGTTTTTTTTTTTTGTTTTGTTTTGTTTTTTTTTTTTTTTTTTCCCACAAGTCCATGGAAGACTTTTTCCTTACCCTCCTCATTATTGATATCTGTACTGTCATTTAAGTTCCATCTAACTCCATTATTTTTCATTCTCAATAGATTATGATTATTCCTATGATTGAAACATAATTGCAATCTGCTATCCTTGCACTAAATTAGGAGTACAGCAGTATTTCAAATGGTGCTCTAATTTCCTTCCATTTTTTTTCCCCCTTGCCATACTTCTGTGTTTTGGTTTTCGGCTATCTTGTATAGCTGATTATCCGAGGGTGTTCCAGCCTTTTAGATATATCAATGCGTTCAATGTCAATTTTGAGCGCCATTTTGCCTTTATTTGGATGAAGCACAGAGTTGATGGGGACTAATACACTACCAAAATGTTGTGGAAGAAAGTTTTTCTTGGAATAGATTTTGATTATGAGCTGTTTGTTTTGTATCATCTATCTCTTGCTGATAGGAAAATAAACATAGATACGTGACAACGTAAGAATTCAAAGGGATTCCCTTTCGTGTTTGTCTGATTTGAGGGAGAAGATCCCGTTGAGTTAATAATAATAATATGTTATTTTTTTCTTAGATATGGCCTTAGATATGGTCGAATGGAGAATGTCTTTGGACCATCTCCTTTGGGTGGTTGATTCTGAACTAGTAGAATTTGGTGCATCTATATTGTGTCTACCGTATTGGTCTATATAGGGATCCTGAATAAGAGGATGCATCCATTCTTATTCAGAATGGGCAAGACTTAACTGGAGCACCAAAAACAATAGAAGAGATGTATCGTACTCAACCAGTAAAAAAAGCATTGTATAGAATTCAAGTTTAGATACAAAATGATATCCAAAAATACTTCACAGAAACATATGTTAAGCATATTTCTCATCATGATTAGTTTACACAAGATGGAAAATAATATAGAGGGCAGTAAAATTTTCTTGCTGATCATGATTTCTTAAACACCAGAAGTAGGAACATCTTTCAGTGCTTATACACTATTATTCAAACAAGGGCATGTAATATACGGAAAAAACAAAACCTTAACCACTATATTTACTTTGATAATAGATATTGGACATATGACGATGATGATACACTACTATCTTGATAAAAACTTGTCGAAGTTGAAGCAGCATCCCACGGCCCAATGTGGCCAGCTACCCCCAATTCAACCTCTTCATAGTTTTGTTGAATAGTAGATGCTCCATGTGGCATTCTAATCACTTCCACCTCTATTGCAACTTCTTTCATTGTAGGCCTTATTAACCTCCATTTCTGTTACAAACATTTTAATAGAAAGATTGGTATTTTAAAATTTTAATTTAGTAAAAATTGAAGTTGACTAACATTAAAAGTCAATGGAGGGGAAAATTTGTTAATGAATCATAAATCTCAAAGAACACCAGTGCAAGTTATGAAGTTAAATGGAAAGGTTTTTGAATTTTGGAAAAATTATACTAAACTCTCCTCTTATAAGCATTAATTATAAAAATTTCTCTTATATTTTTAGAAATTACACCGCACTTTTCAGAGTTTGTCAATTGTCCCATAATTTTGTTAGCGTTTATTTATTGACAAGTCAACAAAATGTGAAAGGGGCTAAAAAAATGCCAATATTATTATTTGGTGAAAGGAAACTAAAAAAAAATACCAATTTAACTGACACGATCTACATTTACCAATTATTTTTTCATGTTTTATTTTTCTTCTTATTATTATTTTTTCCTTATATTTCTTTCTAATCATTGTTCGTGGATCCTCCTTTCACATTTTTATTAATTTTTTTTTTATTAGAAAAAAGCTCTTAATGGATTGAATATTCGATTAATATGCCGAATATAAATTTATTAATGAATTAATCCTCAGATTATCAGTTCCCACGTCGCTTACACGATATAAAATCTCAGAGTTTATTTAAACCAAAATTAGAAGATTGGGAAATCCGTTATTTCTGTGTCATCTGCATTCCTCATCTTCTTTTTGCTGTTCAGTTCAGTTCCACTTCTGAATTTGAGGTCAGTAAGGAATCAACAGCTTATTTTATCAATTTCTTTTTGAAACTATTAATTTTATGTTTAAGATTGTTTTCTTGCTATATATTTCATCTTTTGAGGTTAAAAAGTTTTCTTTTTGAAGAAATGTGTGTGTGGTTATATATTTATTAATATGCATTTATGGATCCCAATTGAAACTGAACCCCTGTTCTGAGGACGATTTGATGAGTTTCTTGTATACCCTTTTCATGATTTCAGAGTTTATAGCCATTCAATTTCAATCACTTCCTTTAGGTGGTCTACATAAGATTTTAAGATTCAGTTCTTAGGATGATGATTTGTTTAATTCTGAGTGAATCTTCAGCAAGATTCAGAATAATGG